AACAGGCCATCGCAGTTTGGATGAAGCACTTTGGTTCTATGAGCAACATCGTCATTGAGCGCCACCATTTCTGCCACCGTGCTCAACAACTTGGCAAGTTCATTTTAGAGTACATTGCCATGCCTCCAGGGCTCGCTGCCCCTTGCAGCCCAGGGTAAAAAGCCGACCTGTCCAAAGCCTCATGTCTCATTTGACTTCTCTGGTGCCAGTCCAGCCTGCGTGATGCATCCGCGCAGCCCTATCGGAACTGCAGAAGTTGCAGTATTTCAAGACATAGAAATCTTTCCTGTACATTGCAGAACAAAGTGAGAATGGTTTTGTAGTGCTCTTGTTATCACATTGTACTAGCATAGATACTTCATAATCTGCAGGTCCGGAGAGCTGAGCAGAAGCAGCTTGTTCATGGTTTTTGCAGTTTATGGTCCGACTAGTACTGCCACCGCAGCTATGGTGGGCGCTTGGGGGCGTTGGTCCAGCGGCGGCCATGTTGTAACCATATCTTGACATGCAATAGACGTTATGTTGAAAAGCTACATTGGCGACGAGGAATAATAACTAAAATGAGTTAGGCAAAAGTTGTTCTTGCGCCCGCCAGCACCCCGTCAACATGCCGAAGCTGGAGTCATTCGCCAGGGAGAGTAAAGACTGAAACGTGTACGTTGAAGTGTTGGACCAGTACTTCATTGCCAAACAAGTGGAAGAGGCAAGACGGTGGGCGGTTTTCCTGAGCAACTGCGGACGGACAACATACTTGCTGCTGCATTGGCTACTGGCGACGGCGTCGGCCACTGTTCTCGACACCACTGGCCTTGGAACTATGCTTGCAAGGTGAAGTCCCCCTTTCCCCTTCCTTTTGTGTCGAGACCTGTTCATATTAGGATCCGGGATTTTCGTGTTATGCGTTAGAGTTTCTTCTGTCGTCGTATTTCGCTCCCCGTTTTATTTTTCACGAGTACAAACCAAGACAAAATGTCTCGCACCCAGTTAAATGAACTGCTGATTAGCAAAGTGGCCAAGTACCTACTTCTTTGGAACGTAAAGCTCAAGGGTTTTAGGAACAATGTGATCAAAGAGACCCTCTGGGAAGCGGTGACTGATGTCGTCATAACATTAGACAAGATCAGTATGTACTACGTTTCACCGTTTCAATGGAATCCCTTTTATTATTCACCAGTGTCAAGTGCAGCAGGTCAAGAACTGGCTTCAATCCTGAGACATTCAATGCGCCGCAGGAAACAGCCAGCATGGTTTCATAAAATTTGAATGGTGAACTGAGTTGTTTTGAATCGTGTAATGCGAACTAAGATGAGCGGTGATATTTCGAGATTTTTCCAAACATGAAGATGTGGTATTTGATTCTCCTTTGCTATAACAGGTGGCACCACAGGCGGCCCGGCCCGCCTGATCACGTATATTTTCCATCACGAATTGAAAAATAACACAGTTCCGAAATGTCAAGCAACAACGACACTCTCTTTTCCGCTGCCCATCTTAGGGGCCGTTTCCCCGATACAACGAATTTCTGAAGATATCATCAAGGCAGTTAACCGGGCTCTATTCAAAAAGGCTGCCCACCCTGAACGACCGGCCACCCTTCAGCTGACAAAGGTCCACCAGCGTCGATTGAAGGTAGCCATCTATGTTGCCCACCAGCACTACGTTCAAGAAATCGCGGTGAAAGCCAGAGACGACCATAAGGTATTGCGGTTATACACCAGTTGATTAAAGGGAAGATGGGGCACTTCTACATTTGAGAAAAAACGCTTGAATTGCGTTCATTTGGCCGTTAGAGTAACAGATATCGCAATTATATTTCAATGCGACGCGCCGGAGAGCCACAAGATCAATTTCAAAATAGGGCTGAAGCCCCGCCTCCCTAGCCTTGGGCAGCCAAAAGATCCGTCGATGACGTCACGGACAGCGACTGTCTTTCGCGTTTTTCTCGCGTTTAACAATACTTACGCAGCAAATGGTTTCGGTATTCGGGTTCACGGGGTAAAAATACACTAGAATTCACTTCTAACTCATTTTTTCCAAGAAGCTCCGTAGCTTCCCTTTAAAGGGACGCTTACACCCCCCAAAAAAAAAACTTTTCATTTTTTGCCAGGCGCTTCATTATGGTGCCGGAGGACTACCCAATTAATATTTTGCAACAGAGTAGCGTATTTTTTTAATAAAGCCAAAAGACGCAACTGCTCGAAACCGAAACCTACGCACGGAGGTCAGTGGAGAGAAGTGTGTGAGTGGGGGAAGTCATGTAGCCACATCCGACGGTGCGATTTTTTTTTTTTTTTACTCTTCATCGTAGCAAACGACATGCGGCAAAGGAAAACTGTTTGCCGTGCGATTCTTTTGCAGTTATGTTTCTTCCGCTCGCTGTTCTGTACTCCAAGATGAGTTGTTTTGTACATTGAGGAGTTGAGAGACGAGTAGTGAGTGCCCGTGGTGAATTTCCACGATTGGCTTTGAAAAGAATACACCCAAGATGTTGCGTGAAGAGCTGGCCCACACGTCCTGCGTCCGAAAAAAAGTGGCATTGTGCGACAGAGTTTCCGAAAGATCAACGGGGATCGGGATCGGGATCAATGGATGGCTGCAATTCCTCTAGAAATTTACAGGCACGTCGGAAAGCGGACGCTACCTGATTTATATGCTCCTTGCATTTTGTGGGAAGTGATTACATCGAGTTCGCAGGTGTCAAAAAGGAAATCCCATACCATTTAATTCAGCGACGTGTCGTCCACAACATTTGTTGGTTATTTTTTGTTTGTTTATTTAGTGATAATTGTAAAAGAAAGAAATGTAAACATCAGAAAATGGCTGAAAAAAAAAAAAAAAAAAAAAAAAGCTTCGCTGGGAATTGAACCCAGTCCTACCGCATGTGAAGCGGACGTCTTTCCCACTGAGCTACTGATGCATCTGTTTCTTGGGGAATCTCTATCCTTAGTAATGATCCAGCCGGTAAACTGTAAGTTGGAAAGTTTGCTGCCGATTTTTCTCCAGCAAAAGCACTCTGGGGCGGAGTCGGGAAGTATGACGCATTGGCGACATTTGCACCTAGTAAAGAAATTGTACGCGTGCATATTCAACTCGAAGTAAACACTTCGTGCGGTGCTTGACATTTGCGCGGGCGATGTCTTCAGCCAGGAGAAAGGAGCTACGGCTCGGCGACGTCTTCGTGCAAGTCGGCTTGGTGGTCGGGTGTGTCTTACGGGATGAATACCGATCCTTTTGCTCGGTCCCAAATTTCTCTTTTAAAGGCAGACAAAATTTGCCGGTACCAACGGACGACAGTTCTGAAGTACAGATCCCACTCCCGTCGTCCACTGCCATCGCCGTCCCCGCGAGTCCTACGATACGCAAAATGACGCACGCACAGAATGCTTCCGGTTCTGTGTGTAACTTTCTTTTTTTTTTTCAATCAGCGTATCTGCAGCTTTTTATAAGTCACAAAAGATGGGCTTCGTGTTGTTTTGTTTTCTATTTTTAATACTGAGTGTGTGCCTTCAGTGACCAACGACTTTGATTAAACTTGGTGGTCGCTTCGCTACCTTAGAAAACGGCCCGTGACCACGGAAAAAAGAGTGAGTGAGACTCGAACCGGCCAGTACTTGATCGGTGGTTTTCGGGCGGAAAGAAACCGAATTTCGAGTCGCAAATTGTATTCTGGGTAGTTGGGCCCTCTTATGTCATGTAGAACTAAAAACCTCGGCGAGCATAAATACCCTGTCAGTGTCCCTCTAAGGACATCATTCCAATGACCTTGTTTTGCATATAAGAACTCTGTTAAAGATAGTCACAGGAAATTGCCAAGTTCTTTGCAGACCAGTTCTCATCCATTAACAAGTGCCCTGCAGATAAGTATTCTGGGAAAAAAAAGTCAAATTTGGGGGTTTTACGTGCCAAACCAACGACGGGCATCTGGCACGCCCCAGTAGAGGACTGAGGATTAATTTCGACCACCTGGAAATCTTTGGACGTGCAACCGAAAGCTCGGTTACACGGCGCCTTCTCCGCAATAAGCCTCCGTCAGATTGCGGGCACCTCGGTCGGGATTCGAACCCGCCACCTGGGGATCCGTAGGCCGGCGCTCTCGCCTCGGAGCCACCGAGGCGGCTAAGTATTCTGGGGAGAAGCCGTGAGACTGTTGCTCGTGAACTTCTTGTATAAGCGACGCAAAATACAAAAAGGCAGAGGAAGCTCTCTTTGAAACGTTCCTGGATGCACGAGGTAGAAGAAGCCGACCTGCTTCCCACAGTCCATGCCCGTTCGCTGCAGACATAACAAGAAAGCCCGGATGATGCGGGAACTCATCGGCGAGTGGCTCAAGGAATTTGACAATGACATGGCAGCAAAGAGAAGGAACATCCTCCTCATTCTTGACAACTGCTGTGCCCACCAATTCTACTTGAAGCTGCAAGCCATCAACGTTCTTTTCTCGCCACCGAACGCCACGGCAAGGTTGCAGCCCCTTGACATGGGTATCATTCAAAACTTCAAGGTAATTTACCGAAGTTGCGTGATCCAGCAGCTCCTCATCAAGATCCATTGCCCGCTTCCTGGGAACCTCAAGCTACAAATTAACTTATGGATGACTGCACAGATACTGAAGGGAGCCTGAATGGGGATAAGGAGGTTGACTTTGAGAAATTGCTTCAGGAAGGCCGGGTTCATGCATCCATTGGCATCGCCGCCAGGAGTCAAGGGAAAAGAGGCTACCATTCTGTCAGTCTGTGACAGATGCGCAGAAGGTGGAGAAGGTACTCCGACAGACGCACTCGCAGTTCCGGGATCTCGTTGAAGGAAGGACCTTCGCCACGCTCAAGGAACTCGCCAATGCTGCCGATGAAATAATGGAGTGCGTGTGGCGACGCCTCCAATACGTACCCCCTCCCCAACTTTCAAACCAAGTGGCCCGAGATTTGGTATTCCAAAGTCGAACGGCGGCGCCAGGGACTCGTCCAGTTCCGGGGACGGATCAGAGTATAGCAGCCTGGACCATGCCCATCCTCGTTGCTCCAAACGCGCACCCCTGGTGCCTGCATCCGGCCCTGCAGCCTTCCTACTACAAGAACCAACTCGGTGCTATCGCGGCGCACAGCGTAGCACCGTTCCACGTGGGTTTCGCCCCAATACGACAGCAGGCCCTGCCTCAAAAAAACAGCTATGATTGCCAGCTGCAGTGTCACAGGTGCGAGGACGTGGACACATGTCACGCCACTGTCCCACTGGCGCACGCAGGGGCCGGGGCCGACCTTGCTGTTCTCACTGCAAAGAGCCGGGGCATATGCGAGCGAGTTGTCCGGGAAACAGAAGGCAGTAGACACCGTACCGGCAGGTGTCTACATGTCACTGCAGATAGCTGCAGCAGCCGGTGGAATGAGCAACCATAATTTACGGGTGTCTCAAATCAAGTGTTTAAGAGACGTTGGAACCTGACAGTACTAACAGTAATATATGTTGTCCTTATTAGGCAGTCCACGACAAAGGAGCCCCCTTGGACAACTGTTGGGGCTTTCTGGACAGCACAGCACACCCCATAAGCCGTCCATCAAAGGACCAAAGGCAATCATTTTCCGGACACAAGCGGCTGCACGTCCTCAAGTACCAGGCTTTGATGCGTGCCAATGGTATAATATGCCAACTGGACGGACCCTTTGAGGACAACAGGCATGACGCAGGTAAATTGTTTAATGTTGTTTTTTTGTTTGTTCAGGTTACTGTTGGAATATATAAACTTGTAACCACATCCAAGTCTTTCCTAAAGCACTCCAAGATAAAATTCAGAACAGTGTTGACTTGTACATTGAGGAGTTCGAGGGTCAGTGAGTATAAATTGATACAAGTACAGTATAGCTAGTTTCTAGAGGTTTCAGTTTTTAAATTCTTTCCGATTCGGCTTATCTTTAATACATTTACTCAAAAACAAAAATCAGTTTTTTTTTTTTGTCATGATAATGATTTATTAAAATTAATTTCAGGTTTTTTTTTTCGGCAAACAATGATTTTCGTCTTCCCTATTCTAGCACTGAACTATTACTAATTTAACAGGCATGAAGCAAAATGACAAGGGTGAATAGAAAACCATTTCACATTTATTTGTCAAATATGTATGCCACAAAGGTTATAATTGGACGTGTGGTATGCTTATTGCCACGCGCGTCCGAAAAATCGGACGGCAACTGTATTACAGTTGCCGACCGACTCCCATCGTGCGTACAATGCCCAAATTCAGCCATCAAGAAGTAGCTGGTTGCAGCTGGGAAGTCGCGGCATTGCCAGCACAGAGCTCAACAAGAAGTGGCTACTGGAAGGTAAGGACATATTTGCAAGTCTTCATAATACAGTAACCAGATTTTACCATGACTCATATTTTTTTTCTAGGCTCTCCGCACACCAGAAACTCAAGGAGATTGTGCTGTCTAAGCACCTTCTGCGGGACATCCCCAGCCTCTCACCATCGGCACAAACGTTTGCCACAGAGTGCTTGCATAGCACATTGTTGCATTTCGCACCACAGCTAGTGCACTTCGCCTTTCGGAGCATGACGGCAAGGTGTGTAGGGAGGTCAGTCCTTTTCTCTTAGTTTCTTAAATACATCTACTTGCCAGGACCTACCTGGCAGCCTTGCACTATAATGAAAATGGAGTGAGGCCCCAGGCAACAACGAAGGAAGGTAAAAGAAGATGGGTGGTGAAAGATCCCAAAGCAATGAAGGAGGCCATTGCTGCTATGCTCAAGGGACACTGCACCTACGGTATATGGCAGTGCTCGTACACTGGTCAGCCAAAACATTATGACCACTTACCAAATTCGGTATTGATTCCCATTTGGCAAGCAAAACAGTTGCAAGGGTCGTCTGCTGCGGAGACCCCTATCGAACAGTCTGATAGACTATGCTCAGAAAAACTTGCACCGTGACCTGCATCGTATCTAGCTGTCAGCAGACCCACAGGAAGTCGCCTATTTTAGTTCATCAGGAGGCAGAAGCCTTCGCCGTCCACATTTTGTGATAATGCATGGGCATAGGAACCGTGCGGATCTAATTCAAGCCCCGACCAGGGCGCCCCTAGCGGCAAACGGGTCCGTTGCATCGGGCATCTTCTGCCACGCCAGTCGCTGCGTTGGTTGTGTGTTGTAGTAGTGGGTTAGCGCTGTAATTTCTGAGATGGCTATTCCGCACTAAGAAAGCCGCAACAATTGCTGCGTGATCGGCAAGATCGCGCACGGCACGAAGTACTACATCGTCCCTTCGAAGCCGTACGAGACGGAGTACTGCGCGACCTGGATACGACTTGTGCGTCCATACAGGTTAGTGGCGTTTCTTACCTTCCAGTTCGCGCTTTGTTTAAGCTGCTGACGAATAATACAATTAACTTTTTTTCTCTCCTAGCGACGATGGAGCAGCATCGACACCGACGGCAAACTCTAAAGTATGCAGCAAATACTTCACGTGAATCTAGAAGCGGAATGCGGTCGCCCTCCTAAGCCTACCGTTGGATGTTTCCATCAGCCTACAGGAAGATAGTAAAGAGAATCGCGGAACGGCGCGAAAAAAAATCGCCCAGTTATTGTCAAGCTGATTCAGAAATAAACGTACATAATTACCGCAGTCCACTCAACGCCAACAAAAATTTTTTGTGGGCGCGCTTAATTTTGTTTGCAGAGTACGGCGCTCCGTGACATCCACTTGTCCGTCGAAACAAACCTCCTTCACGTCGCACACGCGGCCAGATTCATGAAACAGTTTTCTCTTCGTCATATTGGCACCACGAAAGAAGCTTTCTGGATTCGTAACCGCCTCAGTCCTCTGTGCTGCTAATCGCCACTGCTTCCCCCCGATGATTCTGCACCGGCTACCGAAGAAGCTTTCCGGATTCTTAGTCGCCCACTGTCCTCTGTGCTGTTCGTTGCTATTACTTCGCGATGATTCTGAGCCGGCGGCACCGGCTTCCGAAGGAACTTTCCGAACTCGTAGCTGCCTTAAATTCCGTCGTAATCACGACGGGGACACTGTCCGCCGTGCTGTTCGTCGCCATTGCTGCCCGATGCTCCTGCGGCGGCTACCGCCAGGTCGCGGCGAACAATAGGCGACCGCCGCGACACGGCCGGCTTGCTCGCTTCCTATGCAATGCCTTCGCATCTACTAACAGTTTTAACTTTCACTTTTCATCTGTAGTAACCATGACAGCTCGCGAACAAGCAGCAATTCTTGCAGTTTCCGAGAAACTTGTTCCAAGCCACCGGGCAATCAAGATCTGCCCTTTGTCAAAGTCAGCTAAATCAAGAGCCTTTCCCAATACATACACACATCGTCAAAACAATTATCCCTCTGTATCTCTGGAAGCGATTAACTACCATCTGCATCAGCAGGAGGTAATAATGCAGATGCCGCATCAGCGAGGTGCACTCAGTCACACAGTGTAGGGTTTGTCGAAATGTTTTTGCTGATCAGTGTATTTGTTTATTACTAGTGCAAAATCTTCAATCTTTTGGTAGAGTATGTGGGGGAGCTGATGGCAGCCGTGCTTGAATTCTCCACCGTCATGCCCTCGTACAAGGCCGCTGCAGCTCACAAAGGAACTGATATAAGCGATTGGGAAAGGGGCCGGAAGGCTTCTTGATCCATGGAAAGCGCCATGTAACTTTCTACTGTTTTGAGTTGTAAATATATTCATCCTTCTCATCATCAACTGCTGAGTCCCGTCTTGAAATCCCTCGTCTTTATTATCTGACAACCTGCCGCCTCTGCCTTTGGGCATCATAACTAACGCAATCCTCACAGAAGAAAAACGAAGAAACTTCACTGTGTTTTGTGTGGCTTATATTCTATGCAAAAGAGCCTAAATGAAAACTTTATGAACTTGAAAAACAGGAAAAAGTTTGATAACTTGATGTCTGCTTAAAACCTAAAAAGCAAAACTGTGCATGCGCAACAACACGGTGCCTGAAATTCTCCTTGAAGCTTTTGTTACCTTTAAAAATGGGACAGAACAGACAGTAGGATATTAAGATTCCTTTCTTCCATGAACATGCACGTTTTCTAGCCGTTCGTGCTGTTTTTTCTACACATTGCCTTTGTGTGATGGTGCCTTTCTACAGCGAACCACCCATGACCTTTAAGGGGCACTGACATGTCGAAATAATTTCTTTTCAATTATCCGAAACACTTCAAAACAACACCTGGACATTACCCTCAAAATTTGAAACTTGTGAATTCAGTTTCTCCAACACCACCTAGACAAAATGTACAGAGGAGACTTAAAAATAAAATAAAAATTAAACCAAGAAAAAAGATGATATTACTCCTCTGCCCGCACCACAAAGGTAGGCATCTGCACTCCTCCTCTCCTACGCTCCGACGTCATCGCACCTTGCCCCAGAAATTTCGAAGCTCCTAACTATGTCGCCTCCCGACGGATGGCACTAGCTGCGACACCCTCGTACGCAAGTAGTCCCAAGCTTGCAAAACTCGAGAAGCCGTTGCCATTTTCACCGCATTAGCTGTCAGCACGGGCGCTCTTGTTTCTCTATCCGCATGCATCCTACGCGATAGAATGGGTCGGTGTTGTGTCCCCAAGTGTAGGGGCAATTACGGCAACGGGCCAAAGGTTCGGCTGTTTGCCTTTCCAAGTGACCCTAAGCAAAGAGCTCAGTGGCAACGAGCTACTCAGCATGACGATGTCGACGTCGGAAAACTAAAGAACCCGCAGGTAAGCATGGTATTCTGCTCTTGCTCGCGCCTTTTAGCCATGTCGTAATAATTAGCGTGAATATGCGCTACTTCAGACTAGAAACGTGTACCACATGTCACCCTATTTTTTAAATGTAACCTGCATTGTCCGACCAATGCCTCCCAAACTAAGATGCCTATCATAACAGCGGCACTCGTCCTGCTGTGCCCTCTCCCTCTTTCCTCCTCTCCTTCACCGAAACGACCGCAAGGGGCACTGCCAACTGACACTATCGTGGACGCGACAGCACGGGGATTTGACGTTTGCTATTGTGACACCAGTAGGGGTGTGCGAATAGTGGTTCGAATAAGATACAGTGATGTGATTGGCCTAAGCCCTTTTGGAGCACCTTTCGGAGCAGCCAAAACAATGTTTTGGAGCAGCAATTGTGGCCTTTGGAGCAACCAGAACAGTGCTTTTGGTGCAGCAAAAGCGGGTTTTTTGAGCAGATATTCTTAGAAAAATAAAAATGCTTGTTTCGAGTGCTGCAGCAGAAACGAAGGGCACTTTGTGTTGTGTTCTGATGCGACGTGTTGTGACAGAACTCGCTACTTGTGTTTTTACTGCTGAGACATCCCAGAAGTGCACAGTGCTGTAGGCGTTGCTGAGCAATTCCGAAAAACCGCTTGCCACCATTTTACTGGTTCCCGAAGTGCCAGATTTTCGTCAAAAGTAAGCAAACTTACAACAGTTGATTTCAAGCATCCTGGCTGGTGCCTCCGTCGTGCAATCATGTTCGCATGCACGTGAGGGCAACTTCGGCAGGCTTGCAGATGCGCGTGCCTCGTCGCGCGAGCGGAGACAACGGCTGTTCGATCAAAACCGAAACCATGCCACTCCGCTCCGTCACTAACTGATTCTCAAATTGTATGCAAATTGTAACTGTCGAGCATAAGACAAAAAACTGTCCAGCAGCACATGCTTGCCATTGCCAGGCTGGCAAACAAGGTACAAGTCAAACGCACGCGCGCGCGCGCGCACACGCACGCACGCACGCACGCACGCACGCACGCACGCACGCACGCACGCACGCACGCACGCAGAGAGACAGACAGACAGACAAAGAACCTGAGTGCAAAAACATCGCGAGCCAGGCGCGAGCTTTGTCATCTTTGGCAAAAACATCGCGAGCTTTGTGCAACGACTGAACTCGAGACAATCAAGCGCGCTGGGGGGGTTCAGCATTCAGACATTCCCTTAGCTTACTTCTCTTCACCAACTTGCTTTCGTGGAACATTTTTCCTGTACCAAGGTCCCTCTTGAAAGAAAGCCCACCGAGAAAAACCCATGTAATCAATACTTCAACACAAGTCTTTGAGTTAAAGATGAATTTTTGTAGTGACGTATTATTTAAACAAGAACAGGAATGTTGATGAACATGTGGCAGTACTTAGCTTCATTTCAGAAAGCGCCATATCTGCAGCGACGTGGGGACGGCAACACCCGACGTCGCGCGAACACAGTGGCTGAAAGGCGGGTACCAAATATAGTTTTCTCACGGCCGTAGCTTTCAGGAGCGAGTGCTTCAGCTCACAAAGTAACTCCCGCAACGCAAAAATGTGGTTTCGTTTCACAGCACGACGACATGGCTGGTACCCGGCACGGTAGCGTCGGAACGTCCGCACAAAACCGCGTCTGTGGTTGAAAATATTTTAAAAAAAAGACGCGAGACAAGACTTATGAGAGCGCGAACGGACCGCCGCTTGCGCCACATAACACACGCATGCTCAATTACGGTACTCCGTTTAGCTTCGGTTTTTAAAGGCGACCGAAATTGGTTCTTTGGCACAGGCTTGGCGCAGATTACCCATATTTTGGCAAAATGTAGCAGGATGTAGCAGGGTTAGCCCCTTGGCGCAGTTTGGCGCAATTGGCGCAGCAATCACATCACTGAAGATAGCACAGTGTCATCCCTAGCATCAAGAGAGCAAAAGAGAGCCGGTTACGTCGGCTTTCCTTTGCACCGCCAAGGTTATGAATGACGTGCTATTTGATTCGAACCACTATTCGCACACCCCTAATAACGTGCATGTGTCGCACCTTCATTAAGCGTCGTTTTAAAATGCGTGTATCTTAAGTTGTCGTGTGCCAAAGTCTGTAGCCATGCGCTGTTGCTGCGTGCCACTGTGGCCATATTACACACGGCCATACTAGCCATTGTAAACCAACCAACGTCGTAATGTGTGCAGCGAGATCAAACAGTCACGCGAGATCAAACTTTTAGTTTTCTATATTCGACTTCCCGGCGGCTTTGATCGGGTGAACACCATCATCAGTCATCAATATCCTAACTAGCCCCCTTCCTCAGAAAGTTGACTGTCCTGATTCCACTTTGTTTGCTTTAGATACACCTGCACATGCACGATTCACAGATGTCATGACCAGCAAATCTCTGCTGAAGGACCTGCATCAGCTCTCTCCAGACACACAAACATACAGACTGAAGTCTTTCCACAGTGTATTGAACCGCTTTGCACACAAGTGGGCTGCATTTTGCACGAAAAGAATGCTCGCCAGGTATGTACACAAAGAAATGACCCGGAAAGGAACCCTTAGGCATTACCCACATCGCTAATATGAAAGCAGCAGCTGTGTTTTGTGACATGCAATCCAATGCACTGCTTGCCATTTCAGGATGTACTACTATAGTTCGTGAAAATCGTTCGTTATTTATTTGTTAAGATATTATGAAAACCTTTTTGAGTTCTTTCTATGTTTCAGAATTTGTCAGGATCACTAACCTCAGTGTGTGTACGTTGGTGGCTAGAGTTGTTATTTGAACGTTCCGCTCGGTGACAACCACTGCAGCAGGTATGTCTGAGCAGAGTAATCAAAATATTCAATGCCACATACCGCTACCAATACAACACCTACTCATATGAAAATACTGCTATCCCCGATGGTTAGAAACACCTAGAAACGGAGACTAAAATTCTGTGACAAAAAGTGAGCAGCATTCCAGAACACACATCACCATGGGAACTGCTCTACACTTTGACTGCATTTCCTATTAATGTAGGACCCACACTGCAACACTGCACTGGAATGAAAATGCCAACAGGGAACAGGCCATCACCCAGGCTGGTCAACTGCAGTTCAAGGTGAAGTCAACAAAAGCTAGAAAAGGGCACCACACCGCCAATCCTAAGAAGACCAAAGCCACACATGGTAATCCGGGAGAATCTCACTCTCCAGTGGTTTAGAATGTGTTACAGCATCATGAGATTGATGTCGAGACCAGAGTTAGTGGCAGATTAGTTAAAGACCAAGTTAACATACAGGCGAGCTGGTCTACGATACACAAGATAAAACCAGAGAGACGACAAAATGAAAAAAAAAAAAGGGACAGGACAGCAAACCATCAGGACGGTTCAATGTCCTTTTCTTTTTCTTCAGTTGCTCTAGGTTTTATTATGGGGACAGGTTAGTGCAAGGTAAGCATCATCCACAAGCGTTGTCACTACAGCATAAACTCTTGCGTCGGAAATGTAGCATGTCGTCTGCTTCACTGCGTGTGCCTTGCGAGTCGTCAATAAGATGGTATGTCACCTGCTGCTCGGCATCGGTGATTGTAAATTTTATCAAGTGGCAACATTCTTTTTTTTCAACTGTGATCACTTCCATAATCACTCGTGCCAAGAGGGAAATGGATAACTGAGGAGAAACAAGTGCCAGCATTGCAAACTTTCTTTTTCACTGGAGACATCAGTGTAGAAAACCAAGTACAGACACCTGTTTCATGCTTTATAAATGGGTAGAGTAAACTATATTCTGCACACACATTACTCAAGATTGTAGTAGTTCAATTTTTTCATTTAGTTTCGCTCGCCACACTAACCAGGTGGCGCCACGAACTGTCACTGCATATCGCTGTAGCCAGGCGGCGCTACACTTCATCCATTGGGCCGTGCGCCCAGGTGGATCTCCCCCGGGGCGGTTGGCCCCCGGGTTGTTTCCCTCTAAATAAACGAGTACGTGTTCTGACCTCGGCCGATGTAGACGTCCCTTCCTTCCGGGTCGTTCCCGCCTCGGACCCGCCGGTGCTCGCCGCCCCACCTCGGCATGTGAGACAACATCTTTCAGCAGGCCGCCTCGGCGCTGCTTCTTTTCCTTTCTTTTTTTTATTTATTGGGCTCTCCGAATCACAACATTTTTTGGCGAAGGAGGATGGGATTTTCTTTGTTTTCCGATTCGGAGCCCGCTGCATAAGGCTTAGCCCCGGCAGCCGGTGTTTCACGTCCTTTGTCTTGTGACGCCACGTTTTCCCGCGCGAGGTGTGCCGGATTGGGCCCCGGCAACCTCTCGTTCCCGCTCAACGAAATTCTTCTCCCGTATACGTTTCGCCAGGTTGGGCCCCGGCGGGCGTAAATTTTTTTTTTTTGCGCATTTCGTGGAAAATTTTTTTTTCCTTTCCACTTACGTTTTCGAGCGGCGTCGCGCCGTTGGGTTCCGTTGCGGAGCTTTCAGAGGGCTCGCGTCCTATACTAAGGTCTGTCTGACGGTAGTGGGCTTGGCTCCTTGTGAATGCTGTCCCCCACGGGATTTTGCCTTTGTCCCCGGGCGTCGAGGTCGGGACCGTACTCCGCGTAGGCGTTGCGTGTATTACAAATGTCACCATACATAGTTGTCTTTTGTTAGTATCTTAGGCGCACATGTAAAAAATCGTAAAACCCTTGTCGAGTGAAAGACCCGCGGAAGCTTGTCGCGGCGTAAGGGAGCGCATAAGGCGCGTTCGCTCCGGTGAGCGAGTGGTGACGTAAATTTAGACGCCTCCGGTCGTCGGATGCGCGCGGCGAAGAGAGAAGCCGCTTTGCTGCGGAGTCGGCAGGTTGAAATGATGCAAAGGATGCGCGTTGAGAACACGCGTTGAGCCTAGACGAGGGTTGGCTCCTCGACAAAATGTGGATTGCTTAGCGGTTAAAGATCGCGAAAGGAGTACAGGGCCTGCGAGGAAACGAGGTCTTTGCATGCCGGTAGTCGCCATAAAGTCTTAAAGCGGTGGGCCGCGAGAACAAAGGAAGTCTTGGTCCGTTGTGTCCAAGATGGCGGCTCCACAGGGTCGCGTTCCCGCCGACTTCCTCCCCACGCCTGGCACGCCGGTAATGCCGTGGCTTACGTGGAAGCGTTTGGCCTCACTGGCCTGGCCGTTGGCGCGGCCCAAGATGAGTTTCAGGTGTTATTGTCCGCTCTGGACACTCACTTCGCTTCCGCTCAGAACGTTGTCGTCGAACGCAGGAAGTTTGTCACAAGGGTGCAGGGCCCAGGGGAAACGGTCCTGGAGTATCTTGGGGCGCATCGGCGCTTAGCCTCGTTTTGCGACTACGGAGAGTCGTTGGAAAGCCGCGTCGCGGAAATGTTTATCTCGGGAATCCGTATCGCGGAAGTCCAAGATCGTCTTATCAGAGAGTCCGGTGGAGCTCACGCACCGAGCCTCGAGCGTGCTGTCCAGCTGGCGCAGCAATTCGAGCGGACGTCTCGTGATTGCGATCTTTTCCGACGCTTATCGCTAGACGCAACCCCGAACGCGCCGCACGTGGTCGAGCGGATCCAAGATGGACGCGGTCGCGACCGGGATGCTCAACATGGCGGGCAGCCTCCCCGCCGCCGCAGATCTTCCCCCCCGAGGCGTGAGCGTCCCCTTCCTCCTCCCCCGTCTCCGTCGCAGCGAGAGCCCTCCTACTCCTCCCTTCCGAGGCGTGAGCCTCCCTCTCCTCCGTCGGGACGCGCGCGGACTTTCCCTCTCCCGCGGCGTCAAGACCGCCGGCAGCCGCAAGCTCCCTCCCGCCCGTTCTCCGGTGCGCGCCCACGTGACCCTCCCCCCGGGGCGCGTCCTCCCGTTCGCGAGGGCGGATGTTTTTTTTGCGGAAGACGGAGCCACCCGCGGGATGAGTGCCCAGCATCGGGAGCCACATGCTTCTTGTGTGGCCGTGAGGGACATTTTGCAAATGTGTGTCGAAGCCGACCGAGGGACGACCGGGATCATCGACAACTGGCCCTTCCTGCTGGCCGGCGGGTCTCTGCCCGCGGCTACTACGACCGTCGCCAAGCTGGTCCGACACGCACACCCGTGCGAGGCGTCGGCACGTTCTCGGAGGATGACGACGACGAGATGTGGCCTGGCGTTTACACGGTGGGGTCACCCGGTGGTCGCCGGGAGCAGCGACCTGGTCCCCAGCGCCGGAGTTTCACGGCCGATGTAGAGGTGAACGGCTTCCCTCTTTCCATTCTCATCGACACCGGTGCTGAGGTCTCCCTTCTCTCGGATGCGACTTTCAACCGCATCAATCGGAGCGGCCGCATCAAGCTTTCAAAGCCGCCGTGCACTTTAGTGCACTACCTAAAGGGTTCCATTCCCGTTTTGGGATGCTTTCACGCAAACGTCGTCTTCAAGGATCGCTTCGCGACCATTCTCTTCTACGTTGTACGCAACGGCCGTTCACTACTTGGAATGGACGCGGTACATGACCTCAAAATGATCTTGTCTGGCGTACCGCTAAAATGTTTCCACATTGACGCAGCTGCTCCCGGAACAGCCGTCCCGGGACATGTAACCGAGGCTGAGGTCCCGCAGTCATCGTCCACGGCAGACGCAAGTTCGCCACTCCACTCTTCTGGTGCCTTTGGCACTTTGTCGTCGGCTGTCCCCGCAGCCCAAGGTCCATCGACCTCGTCCAGTGGCCGTTCTCCGTCATCGGTGAGCGATCATTCCACGCTTCCTCCCGGTTTTGAGGAGTTTGAAGAATTTTTTTCGTCCGAGTTGGGTTTGGTTGTAAACCAAACACATACAGTCACTGTCCGTCGTCATGTTCCGCCCGTTCAGGCGAGGCTCCGTCGTCTACCGTTCACGCTGCGCGAGTCCGTAACTGCCGAGATCCAGAAACTCGAACGTCAGGGCGTGATTGAGCGCGTCAGCGCCTCCGAGTGGGTCTCGCCCATCGTGGTCGTCAAGAAGAGAGACGGCGGTATCCGCATGTGCGTCGATCTCCGGGCTCCCAACCGCGCGGTCGTGATCGACTCATTCCCACTACCGCATATCGACGAGCTCCTGAACTCGCTCAGAGGAGCATCTTGTTTTTCAAAACTCGACCTTGCGTCGGCCTACCATCAAGTGCGACTCGACCCCAAGAGTCGAGACCTTACAGCGTTCATCACGCATGAGGGTTTATTTCGCTTCAAGCGAGTCTGCTTCGGCTTGGCCTCCGGGCCAGCCGCATTCCAACAAGTCATGTCAAAGATCCTTAAGGACTGTCCTAGTGTAGAGTTCTACTTAGACGACGTGATCGTTTACGGATCATCACCTCAAGAACACGACGCGCACTTGCGCGAAGTCCTCCGACGGATCAAGTCCGCTGGCATGAAACTGAACAGAAAGGCGGTTTTCCGCGTTCCAACCTTGTCTTTTCTCGGTTATAGTCTATCCGCGGAAGGCGTAGCGCCCCTTCCGTCCAAGATAGAAGCCGTTCTGAACTTCCCCTCACCGTCCGATCCAACACAACTCAAGGCATTCCTCGGTCTAGTGGAATATTATAGCAAATTCATTCCACATTGTGCGACAGTAGTCGAACCGATGCGTCGTTTGTTGCGCAAGGGCAACTCTTTTTCTTGGACTCCTGATGTCGAGAGCGCCTTCCAAGAAATCAAGACAGCTCTCCAGAAAGCACCCATCTTAACAATGTTTGACCCGACTTTGCCGGTCATCGTATCAACTGATGCTTCGAACTACGGCCTCGGAGCAGTTCTGCAACAACAGCACGGGCAGAAGCTCAAGACCGTGGCCTTTGCAAGCCGTTCCTTGACGGACACGGAGCGACGGTACTCCGTGGGAGAGAAGGAGGCCCTGGCGATCCTGTGGTCGTGCGAGAAGTGGCATACTTACCTCTGGGGAAGGCAGTTCACCATCCGCACTGATCATCGAGCACTCGTCACCCTCATGTCTACGCAGGGCACCGGAGTCCAACCGCTACGCATCAGCCGTTGGACGGCCCGGTTGTTCAACTACAACTTCCTGATGGAGTACCGCAAGGGTACCAACAACACCGTCGCAGATGCACTGTCCCGTCTGCCCGTCAAGGACACAGAAGACGGCACCAAGCTTCCTGAGGAAGTGGTTTCCATAGTCTGCGCTTCACTGACTCAGCGCGACTTTCAAGATGCAACAGCCCGTGATCCCATTCTACCGAAAGTCATGAAATACATCTCGTCAACATGGCCAGCTGAAGACAAGCTGCCTCCAGGGTTCAAGCCCTACTTCGCAGTCCGAGAACAGCTGTCGCAGGTGGACAGACTGCTGTTTAACGCCGAGAAGATCATTGTGCCGACCAGTCTACGCGACCAAGTCATCGAGATAGCGCATGAGACGCATCAAGGGATCACGAGGACCACAGGACTTATCAAAGAACTCTACTGGTGGCCTCAAGTATCTCTCCACATCAAACAATACGTCCAACATTGCACCATATGTCAGTCTACGGACAAACCAGCAAAGACATTCCGAGCACCTTTACAGCCAGTCGATTTTCCATCTCGTCCTTGGACGAAGTTAGGTATGGACATCGTTGGTCCGTTCGAACGCGCTCCGCGCAACGAACGTTTTTCATCACCCTTGTGGACTACCACAGCAAATGGCCAGAGGTCATGAGCGTCCACAACGTCACGACTGCGTCTGTGGTAGACTTCCTGAAGCTTGTCTTTGCACGAGAGGGGTTGCCGGAAGAAATCGTCACCGACAACGGCCCCCAGTTCATCTCCAGGGAATTTACAGACTTCCTCAAGAATCAAGGTATTCGTCATCTCAGGTCATCCCTGTACCACCCCCAAGCGAATGGGCAGGTGGAACGTTTCAACCGTGTCTTGAAGTCCACCATACAGTTGGCTGTCGTCCAGCAACGCAACCTCAGAGAAGCAGTCACGGAGTACTTAGGAGTGTACCGTGCCACTCGCCATGCTGCAACGGGAGAAACTCCCGCGTTCCTGCTTCATGGCAGGAACCATCGCAATCGTCTTTATCTTTCGGGGCGTCCAGTCCCCGACCCTCAAGTTCCAAGGTCCACAGTCCAACAAAGACTTCCACAAACAATCAAGAAATATCAAGAACGCATGAAGATGTACTCAGACAGAAGGCGTGCTGTCAAGCGGCCTACATTCATTCCTGGACAGACCGTCAAGGTCAACAAGCCTCGTCACCGAGGAAAGTTACAGATGAAGTATGCTTCTCCTCAGAAGATCCAAGATCAAGTGGGTCCAGCTACATACCGGCTGGACGATGGATCCACGTGGCATGCGTCCAAGTTGACGCATACAACTCTTCAACCTTCATCAACCAGAGCATCTTGGTTCCGGGAAGATTTGTACCCCCCGGACCCCCCTTTTTTCCCTGCAGTTGTTCTGCCCACAGTCCCGCCGGCTCCCCCAGAGCCGCCTGTTCCTGTCCTTAGTCCGGCTAGCCCGGACACCACCAATCCAGATCCTGCGGGTCAACGTCCTGACCCTGGCCTGAGTCCTGAGGCCCCCCCTTCCCCTCCTGAGGGTCCTGTTCCAGCTGGGAGTCCCCCTCCCGTTCCCGAGGGTCCTGCTGAGGTGCAACCGGTGCCTGAGGAGATTGCTCAGCCCCCTGAGCACTACCAGTCTCCTAGGATGTCCCCAGATAGCAGCTGGTCAGCTGCCAGTTGGTCGCCCAGTCGTACAGAAACGGCTACTGAGGGTGGTGCAGTTTCCGACACCTCCTTTGACGGTGCCCCAGAACCGGTACCAGCGCCGTCCCCTGTGAGAGTGCCGTCGGCATCAGGCGGCCAGCCGATTTTCCGGTCGGATCCTCCAGAGACCCAGGGTCGAGGTCCCGACACCTCCACCCCCCGTCAGGACAGTCGCCCACATCGAGCCCGGCGGCTGACCGAACGTCTCAAAGACTACTTTGTGAACCTTTACGACAGCAGTTCAAGTCTCGGAGAGATCCAAGACATATGAGTTTAGTGCACACATCAACTATTGAACATTCTTCTAGTCAACCCCAGTGAATAATTTTTCTTTTTGTGTGTGTAGTGACAACGGACATTTTAGGAAACCTTAACTATTTTCAATGCTACATGCCCATGAACATTTGAACGTGAAGTCTTCGTCTTCTCTGCCACGTGCAGTAAGAAGTGTAACTGGCTACTTGCCTATTTTTTTTTTTATTAGGTTTTACTTGCCCAGTGTCTTTTGCTCAATTTTTATTTTATCCTGCCTTAAGGTTTTAGCCTTATGAGACAGTGTATTTTCTTTTCCTAAGAGAGGGAAGGATAGGTGTTTATTTTTTTTAAGGAAAGGAAAGTGTAGTAGTTCAATTTTTTCATTTAGTTTCGCTCGCCACACTAACCATGTGGCGCCACGAACTGTCACTGCATATCGCTGTAGCCAGGCGGCGCTACACTTCATCCATTGGGCCGTGCGCCCAGGTGGATCTCCCCCGGGGCGGTTGGCCCCCGGGTTGTTTCCCTCTAAATAAACGAGTATGTGTTCTGACCTCGGCCGATGTAGACGTCCCTTCCTTCCGGGTCGTTCCCGCCTCGGACCCGCCGGTGCTCGCCGCCCCACCTCGGCATGTGAGACAACATCTTTCAGCAGGCCGCCTCGGCGCTGCTTCTTTTCCTTTCTTTTTTTTATTTATTGGGCTCTCCGAATCACAACAAAGATGATAGTAGTTCTGTCCATTTTGCATTCAAACTCAAATAACTGCACATTATAAAATTGTTACCAAAAGTGTGCAGAGAGAAAGATATATAACCATAAATTTATTTTTCAGACTACGTCGCAAAGCTTGCGGCTCGGGCTGTGGCTATCTGTGAGGAAATCTGTTCCCTCAAGGAAGTGTTCAAGCTTGAAGCAAGGACACCACGCCTATCGAACATGACCCAGAGCTTCAACAGGCCACTCAGGAAGGACCTGGTGGCCACCAGTATCATCCATTTGGGTTTTTGACAAGGAGGGGCAGTGTATTTATTACAGTGGAAGCAATAATCCCATACATTTCAACGACTGAAGTTTCTATACCTCCTTCAGCGATAGAGATCATATATACTAACTCTAGAGGAAAAGGTCCGCCATTTTCCCATGCATTCTGGCTATCGCAAGCGGCGGAGCATAAAGGCAGACCTTCGAAGTCCCACACATGTTTACGAACTGCCTTCGAATTCACGAATTGTATCCTCAGAGCAGTTTCATGAGCTTCAACAATCCACAAACTTACTGGTGGAAAGATATTTCTGTCCCCTTCGAAGCTTTCTTTTTGCATAGTGCACAGGTGTACGGCCTTGCATCAAAGCAAAACTAAACCAGATAACGGGCTTCGCGAGTGGGAGTGCCCCAGGAATACGAAGCCGCACAACCACCAGATATCCAAGATTTCGACAGAAGGAAACTTAATGCAGCGTAATGAGTATATTGCTTTATATAAGCGTTAAAGTAGCCCAGAATTTCTGTTTACAACGTTAAATTATCAGTTTATATTGCTGACAGTTTTCAGTCTTTGCGATTATCATTGCGACTGTCGTCCTTCAGCTGGCAACATTGGTTTCTTTCTCTCGTGTTCTGTCACTCTCTTTCACAATCTTTCACTTGGGACTCCGGATGATTTTGCCCCCCTGCCTTCAGCCTGCGT